AGCGGTTTAACAACCGTTTGATGAACATTGTCAGGGCCTGCCGATTTATAGGGGTTTAAGCCAGCCGGCACCTCAAGGACCTCTGATGCGGTTATTATATCTTGCATTTCACTGTCACATGAGAACTCTGACTGCGAGGGGATTGCACATCCACCGTCCACACGGTGCAAGTGCTGGAAAACATACCTTGACTGCATCTTCCACAACCTCACTACCATTCTCCTTAGTAAGTTTACCAATTCCCTCTCTCAAACAAGCTTTTGACTGCACATAACTGTAATACAACTGGATTTCTTTTTGCATTCTGAACTGATCTGAGCTCATAGCGATATTTAGCTCGCCCCTACAATTTGATTGCTCTATTTCGATATCGTCGCAACGAGACTGAACCTTAACGTGGTGTGACGGTTTACGTACCTCTTTGACCCATTGAGCTATACTGGGTGATGCCTCCGGGCACCTTGAGAGCTACTCCTACCAGGTTGGTCAATGGTGATAGATCAAACGAACTCAGTCTCCTGGTCCTCCAGTTTGGGGGTTTGAAATGGGATGGCGTTCATTTCTGTAAAACTAAATCATTGCTACCTCCCCGCTGCCTTACGGACAGGCTTTTGAGCCGAAGGCTTTGGATGAGGACCCTAATCGTCCTCCTGTCTAGGTCTGGGAACCCTGGCAGTATCTCACCCCACATACAACCGCGACAATTTCCCCAAACTCTAACTACACCCTGCATCGGCCGTCGCGCAGATTATCAAGGGTCGCCTTATCTGTTGCATACAGCAGGGCGGATAAGTGAAAACATGCTACTGCTGGCGCCTCCCTTCTTTCTTTTCCACCTGTTTCTCTTACTCCCATCCCGACCCCCATTACTAACCTTCCTTCTATAATTCCCAGCTTAATTGACAACAAGCGAAGTGCCACTGGAGTAGAACCATCTGCGGCCACCATCCCACAGCACCTATCGGACGCCTATCGGCAAAAGTCCCTTATAAGACCACGCTATCCCGTTTCCATGGCGACAAGCAGTGTTCGCACTCTAAGACAAACAGGTCAACAGGCTACACTCGCATGCACCTTGGACACACTGGGTATTGATGTGTGTTGTGTGTCCGAAACTATAATCAATGACCCTAACGAGGTTATTGAATTAACTGCGCCCGGCTTATCCTCTCGTTATTGGTTGCACGCATCCGGAGACGCCGATGCGGCACTCACGGGTCAAGCTGGTGTAGGTAACATTCTAAGCTGCAAGGCTGAGCCATTGTTGGTTGTTTGGATTCCGGTGAACAGCCGTTTATGTGCAGCTCGTTTGACGACATCAGCTAAGGTTGATTCAAGAAGTAGTAAAAAACGTTGTTGGATCGTGGTTTCTGCTTATGCTCCCACCGACTGCAGTTGTACTACTCTCAAGGACATTCTATCGCGAACTGAACGCGCTACTATGCAGTGCTACCAGTTAGGATATTATAGTACTTGCAGGGGATATGAACGTATAAGTTGGGCGTCTGAGCTCTACAGAAGCTCAGCTGGGTGGTGATTATGGGCTAAACTTCGATCGGACTGATAACAGTGAACGTCTGCTGCAACTGTGTGCGGAGCACCGGTTGTTTCTTAGTAGCACTGCTTTTAGACATAGTGGGCGCCGAAGTGCCACCTGGCGTCCTCCTGTAGCTGGCCAGCGATGGACCCAAATTGACCACATCGCCATAAGTTACAGATGGCATGGTTCCATCCTGGATTGCCGCTCGTGCTGAAGTACCTGTGTCGACTCTGACCATGCCTTGGTACGCTGTCATTTCTCCATGAACTTTACCGGGAGGCGCACCAAGCGTCTCCTACGGTTGGCAACTGGGAAATTGTTTCAGCCCTCGATGAGACAAGTCTATCAAGACGCACTGCGTACCGAACTTTCTCTTTCCTGTCATAATGACACAGCTTCAGTGGAATAGGATATCGGCCGCCATGCACGACGCAGGTGCATCTGCTTGTGACACTATCAATGGTCACCGCACCAGTCACTGAATATCCGAGAGGTCGGTGAACCTGTTGGAATCTAGAAGAAACCTCTCGGCAGGTTCTGAACACCATGTGACCAGACGGGCTATTAGGCGGGAACTAAAGCGGATCATACGTACTGACAAGGAAGCCTGGTGGACCATTCGGGCTTAATAAATGGTGGAGACAGGAGCAGTAGGCAATTACCGAAAGCTCTACCAGCTGATCCGTACCACTGGTCCCAGAAAACCAGGCATCAGTGAGACAATCAGAGACAGCGCGGGTGCGCTGATACACAATAAGGCGCGCCGTATGGCATGTTGGGCGGAACACTTTCAAGATCAGTTCAGCTGGCGCCCTGCTCCCGGACCTCTTCCTACTCAGTTGATGCAGGACTAGCCATGGACGGTTAGTTTAGAGCCTCCGTTGGAGGACGAGTTCCGAAACGCGATCACAGCTCTCAATCGTTTTCGTGCCGCTAACCCGGATTCCCTCCAATCTGCACAATTTTAGGATGGAGGTGAAGTCCTCTACAAAGCACTGACCTCCCTATTCGAACGTATCTGGATCGAAGAGAGTGTCCCGGCTAATCGGAGCGAATCAATTACGGTGATAATATAGAAGGGCGGTCGTACAGACTGTTTTAATCACTGGGGTATTAGCCTAACGCCAATTATGACAAACATACCGGCGTCAATTCTCTTTTGTCACCTCACTGTGGAACGGGAATCGGATTAGGGAAGAGCAAGCAGGTTTTCGTCCAGAGCGTGGCTGTATAGACCATATATTCACTTTGCGGTAGGTGCTAGAGCAGCGCCTCGCATACCGCAGATCGACAATAGCTGTGTTCCTTGATTTCAAGAGTGCGTTCGATTCAGTCGATTGATGCATTCTGTTCGAAATACTTGCGTGGAAAGGTGTTCCCACGAAAAATGTGAATATTCTTCTTGCTCTTTACTCGAACGCTACGGGCCGCGTCAGGGTCTACGGTGTCCTATCGGATAGCTTTCCGACCACAAGTGGCGTTCGTCAGGGATGTCCGATTTCCCCACTTTTTGTTCAGTTTCGTCGTGGATTCTATCATGGAGTGTTCCCTTGCAGAATCTCACGATGTAGGCGTTGAAGTGCTGCCTAGTGGAAGATTACTTGATCTTGGTTATGCAGACGATATCGTCTTGCTTTTCGACCATGTTGGGGCGGCACAATCAACCCTGACTGACCTGTCTAGAGTGGTCCCATTGTTTGGTATGCATTTCGCACCTTCAACGTGCAAAGTATTGCTGCAGGACCACCAGCCACTTGATGACCCATTGATCCTTAATAGCGAGGAACTCGAGGTGGTTGATCAATTCATTTATCTTGGCAGCTGCATCAGCAGTGATGGGCGCATAGTAACTGACGTCAGCTCACGCATTGCAAAAGCCAGAGCTGCCTTCTTGAACCTGCGTCATCTTTGGCGACAGAAGGTAGTTTCCCTCCTTCTGAAAGGCCGGGTATACAAGGCCACAGTGAGGGTTGTTCTGCTTTATTGTAGTGAGATTTGGCCCCTTCGGTCTGCAGAGCTGAGGCGCCTTCAAGTCTTTGCTCATCGTTGTCTGCGAAGCATTGCTGGTGTCGGATGGCGACAGCGTGTCCGCAATGATGATGTGCGTAGGTGGTTGCTAGGTAGTGATAATCATGCTAGCTCCCTAGAACAACAGATAGCACTGAGTAAGTTGCGTTGGCTTGGGCACGTGCTACGTATGCTTGATCACCGCTTACCTAGGAGGGCCTTGTTTAGTTTGCCAGGTGTAGGATGGTGCAAGGCTCGAGATGGACAGAAGTTGACTTGGCAGCGGGAAATGAAGTCATTGACGGCCAAACTGGGTGCCGTTGGTCCGTCTCGCCTTCTGGGCTGGAGCCCACGTGACTCACCTTGTGCTTGGCTCGAGACTTTACAGGACATGGCTCGCAGTAGACACCAGTGGCGCGTCTGCTGGCGTCTCCTAATTGGATTGCCTGTTTAAAGTGTGTTTGGTGCTGAGTTATCTGCGGGGTAATGACTGATTATGACGCGTGGCAGTGAAAGCCGCAAGGAAGCTGTCTCGCCGATGCCGCCTTATCTTTGCACGATAACCAGCTGTTTGTGACGGTTTGTTGTCTACTCATGATGTAGCGCCTTGACCCTGAATGTTTGCTAAGGTCATTAAGTTTTTCTCCTTCTTGTTATTCTTTATTTAATAGGTCGTCATGGTTGTATGGCAGCGAAGCATCAGTTCAAATGGCTAATGTGCTATTGTTGATGATGATGGTGATGATGCGGACTTGGCGTGCACTGCACGCCGGGGTAGCTTGTCAAGGGGCATACGAATGACATGGCCTAGCCACCGTAGATTCAGCAAACACTCGAGTTAGTCACCAGAAGGTTTCTTGCCGAAAACCGACTGGGAATGTCACTATCTTTACTCGGTGTTTCATTTGAATTTGAACAATAATCCGCGAGCATCGGTAATGGAACACGGTCAGTCGTTTAATGTCATCACTACGAACTGGCCATGTCTCTTATTTCTACATTTACACTGGCTTTATTGCAGCGTTACACACCCTACTGGCTATTGACTTGATTCGGGAAAATCTGCGTTACTTCTCATCTCGATGGTGATCAAAATTCTCATCATTGCTTGTATTTCTTTTCTCCTGGAAGAGTCTGTCAGGTGAAATCCCTGCTTTTGCAATCACCTCCTTTCGTATGTGGTCATGCTATGGCTTGCTTACAAGTACCACGGTATGCTGACCATACCTCTGCAATTACCGTCCAAACATCGCTTGCACAATCTGTGTATTGGGAGATCTAATATTCGGAATAGTAATTTGTCGAGTATATGGGCTTGAATGTCTATGAAACGTGTCTTTTTTGGTATGAAATACAGCTAATGTAAGTGGGTTCATCTCGCATATGACAGGATATCTATCAACTTCGCACCTTTCCACTGCATTTTTTTCATATTGCCCTCTCAACATTTCAGAGCTTCCTTATCTGATATGTACTGATTTGCTGAAGGTCAAAGGGAAAGTTATGCAACTTCTCTGGATCGGTCGTTCTCTTTTACTGATCGCGACACAAAGTGACCGAGCAGTAAGTTAAACAAACTCACCTAAACATCATGAACTCATTGTCCTAAGTATTCTCATCCACCTGTGCTTATTATGATGGGGATGGTTTTCCCCCCGCGTGAACACCGTTTAAACACACACACACACACAAATGGCATACAAATGTTTCGAAATACTGATAGCTCGGGTTGATGAATCAATTGTTCATTTGTTCTCCGAGCTTGGCGGTTTTGTCGCAAACGTTTCACTATCATGCGAGGTGGCATCCTCAGTGCAGTGATATGTAGCGTGCAAGCTTACACGTGCAAGCTTGAACCGTACATATCACTGCACTGAGGATGCCACCTCGCATGGTGGTGAAACGTTTGCGACAAAACCGCCAAGCTCGGAGAACAAATGAGCAATTGGCATACAAATGCTGCGGTTGCTTTCCTAGAGATTTGTGGCTTGGAGGGTCAATTTGAAATTCACGTTTTGTGAATGCTTTGCTGTTGCTTTATTTAGTTGATAACGTTTCGCTTTTGACACAAAAACTTCATCAATCCAAGTGAATTGGTACATAGTTGATGTGACATTTTATAGCAGGTGAAGGAGCTAAGAGTCAAGCGACTCTTATAGAAACAGCTAGAAATGTCACATCGAGTGCTCAGTCAGAGTGGCGCTATTCCAAGGTTTTCGCTGCCCGTCATGTTATCAATTCACCTGGATTCAGCATGGCCTACAGCTTTCCAATATTCGAACAGCTGAATAGGTTCTCCTATTCACCCACAAAAGATACGCAAAAGCACCTAGAGTGACAGGGGACAACTGGCTCACCGGTTTTGCTCGAGACAACTGGCGCCCATGATCATCAAGAGGAGGGATTGCGCAGTCTCCCACTGCTTATGCAGTAACGTTGCATTCGCGTAAGTGCAATGTAGCCGGAATATCGTACAGCTCCCTTCCTCCCCTGACTTTGATAACAAACTAGAGCTGTAAACCAATGAAGCTAGACTGCTTTGGGTGGATCCATAACAGCCACCGGTGTTCCAGTGATTGCACTGCATAGGTTGGGGTACACACACACGCGCACACACACACACACAGGAAATGCGCGAAAGTCCATGGAACGACACGGGCCAACGTTGATCGAGGTGAACAATGCCAGTGATCAAGAGGAGGGCTTGCACCATCGCCCACTGCTTACACAGTCCCGTTGCATTCGCGAGAGCACAATGTGGACGAAATATCGTCCAGTCGTTTTGCTCCCCTTTCTTTGATAACCACTTGCAGCAGTAGACCACTAAAGCTATGCTGTGTTCGATGGAGTCATGGTAGCCTGCACTGATCCAATAAGCAGCCGAATAGGTCGGCCCACACAAAATATGCCAAGGCCCATAAGAGTAACAGGGGACAGCTGGATCGATGCCTATCTGATTCATCAGTTACGGTCCAATTGATCGAATTGGCCAAGGTTTAATTCAGTGGGAATCGCGGTCCACATTGTGTTGGCACATCGTAATCCATTCCCAAAACGAGTGCTTCACAATGACCCTCCAATGCAAGGTAACATTTGTTTAAGCCATGATAGACTACGCGATTGGGAAGTCTGACTTTCCACTAATCACACACAGGTGCATGTGTAGAGTCAGAAGCACATAAGCTACGAGAAGACAAATGACGAGATAGGAGGATACTCAATCACCGCGTTTGATCGAGGCGATTGAGGTTCACGATCAAGAGAAGAGTTCGCAGTGGCACCGGCTGATTACACACTTCGGTTGCATTAGCATGATTACAATGTAGTCTGGACATCGTTTAGTTGCCTTACTCCTCATTTCTTGTAGGTGAATTACCGATTCTCTGCTTAAAATTCACTGTGTCCAAAGTGGTTTGCAAAAAGTCCATTTTGTTATGCGAAAAGTCACATTTGTTTTGCAAAACGTCCAAGTGCCAAATGTGGTTTGCAACATGTCCAATTCAAAGGTGAAAATGATATCTATCTCATCAAGTGTAACGTTCAATGCATCCAAAGCATTTTTGAGTCAACGGATTTATTTAACACCCAAATGTGTATTTGCAAATCGACTGAGTCTATTTCTGAAAGCCACTCAGACTGTGAACTACTTTCAAACAAACCTACAGGAGTTAATTTTAAACGAGGACAGGTTTTTAAGGGAACACAAATTCGTAAGTTCGACCGGTTGCTTCCTATGCATCATAAGACCACCGACCTCATTGATAAGCCTGGATCTAGTGGCAACTATTTTAGTGTAGTTAATTTGTCAGCTGAGTTTTATATGAAATGGAGCGTAGATTGTTGGATAAGGGATAACATATATACTGTCAAACCTGTCTAAGGAGACCACTCAAGGGAGCGACAAAAAGTGGTAGCCTCAGACAGGTGGTCGTCATTTGCAGGTTATTGCATAGGGACATTACATATAGGAGCGAATGTTGGGGATGATTTTGGCTGGTCGCCATAGCAGGCTGGGCTGTAGTATAAACAAACCCAAGATATACGCAGAGGACGTAATCCCTAGCATTGAAACTATGGTAACGGTCACCCACGGTAGGGGCGAAGAATATCCCCAGCTAGTGAATAATATTAACTTTCAGGAATCGGGAGTACCTGATCTTACGCCAGCTGAACGTATCGCGTTGAACGCCTTGAAGGACGATCATAATTACAGAGGCTAATAGGGGAAAGCAATGATATTGATGAATAAGTCGAATTATATGGAAAAAATGGAACAGTATTTGGAGACAGGGCCGTATAAGTCAGTTGAGATTAAAACCTTAACCACGGTGACGAATAAGGATAAAACGGAACTTGACAACTATTTGAAAGTTGTAAAGCACTCTTTAGAGTTAGGTAAGTGGTGCAGTCACTATCTGAAATCAACTTTGCCTCCTAGGCTTTGTGGGCTATCAAGGATACATAAGCCTGACGCTCCCATGCGGCTTGGTAGCCAACGGTATAGGCTCTCCGACTCACGAACTTGCGAGATATTTGGCGGGAATATTGCAGTTCATGATAAGACGAACAATTACATTCATGATGATTGCAGGGCTCACCATTGAACCAAATGAACTAATGGTTAGCTTTGATATCACCTCGCTTTTTACCCAAAGAGGAAGCGCTGGAGTTAACAAGATGCTGCCTAAACGAGGACATTACAGTGGATGACAGAACAAAACCTACCGTTGGTCAAATCGTGCAGCGCATGTCATTGTGCCTTAGCATATCCTATTTCTTTTTCCAGTTGAAGCTCCCAACTCAGGAACACTATCTGGCCACGAGATCGCCATTCTCCTCTGTATGATCGAACTTGCACGTGGAGGACTTCGAGGATAAGGCGCTAGTAAGGTCCCGTAGCTCACCGGAAGTTTAGTGGCGCTACATAGACGACACTTTTATAGTAATAAAAAAGAGGACTTGCTAAACCGCCTAAACTCTATTGACGGAAGGATACATTTCACTGTGTCCTCGGTGTCATGCAGTGGTACAATGCCATTCCTTGACTGCAGAGTTCATAGTAATGGAGGAAATTTTAAAACAACAGTCTATCGTAAGCCAACAGATACCCCTGGAATACTTACTTATACTTCAGGTCATCCAAACACGTTTACGTGGGGATGGCCTAATCGCTGTTCCACAAGGCACAGACCCTGTACACAACGGAAGAATATAGAAAGGCTGTACGGAAAGAGACGATGAGCAGACTACTAGACAGCATAGCGAAACGTCAGTTACAAAAAGTACTTAACCTCCTATATGCAGGCTCAACAACGTAATGGTAGGAACGATGAAAATTCCTTACAAGGAAGGAACCTCGGAAGATTTCCTAGGGCATCGAACATGGAAGATAAAATGTGATCTTCCAGCGTGTCCAAGCGTTACATTCAGGGTTGATGCGTCTGCAGGACCCCGTTCCCACAAACAGGATGACTAACTGTGGGTACAAAGTAACAAACAGCGAAAGAGCTACGGACACGGATCCTAGAACATAAAAGACGAATTTCGTGTTCACCGTGGAATGAGCTTGGATACAGAGCTCTGTTAGGAGATTCTTCCGTAACTATACATGCGCTGGACATCAGATTGATTTGGATAATGTCGAAATCATTAGGTAAGTTTTACGGGCGAAGCCCCAAGGATCAAATGCCGAGGCGATCGAACTCGCTATAGATCATAGCTGTGTGAATAGAATGGAAGGGGTAGGACTCTCGCTGCGTGGAGAGCAATCTGACGAGCGTCGATACACGGGTCAACTTGGATGGCGAAACCGACATCATCACCATCACTACTAAGCCGTTAATTGACAACAAGATGGATAGGGAAACCCCTGGAATAGTTCTGCTCTTACTGATCACTTGTGATGACATTCCCACCTTGACTCATATTTCAGTTGTCACGATTGTCTTCCTCACCCACCATAAAATGTCACATAAACTATGTACCAAGTCACCTTGCCTACTTTTGTGCCGAAAGCGAAAGGATGGCAATTAAATAAACCGACCGATTTTCGGGTTTTTTGGAGCACCCGCCGTGTGTCTTGGATTGCGACGCGCAATCTCACTAGTGGCGGCGGTTGACTTGGAAGTCAGCCTCTGCCAATACGGTCACCGAAGTGGAGGTGTTTCAGTGTGTGTATTGGCAGAGGCTGACTTCCAAGTCAACCGCCGCCACTAGTGAGATTGCGCGTCGCAATCCAAGACACACGGCGGGTGCTCCAAAAAACCCGAAAATCTACTTCTAACCGCGGAACTCAATGGCCTAGTGATCATGGCGATAGACGCCAAGCACTATGCCCCGAGTTCCACTCCTAACTCACAAACAGACCGATTGTTCACAAATCTCTCTGAAAGCATGACTTAAAGATTCTTTCCAAATATATTTCCGAGCCGGTTTGTATAGTTTGTTATCAACGTTTCACTTCTGACGCGTAAACTTCCTCTGGCCGAATGAACTACTGGCTGTTTGGTATAACACTTACACAAACTGTTAGGTACTCGCGACGATTGGCATGCAAATATGATTCAAGTGGCGTCATTTGCCAAAATTTCCCTTGAAATGCTACATCGAACTGTCCCAAGTGGTCCGCGTCACAAAATCACACACGTAAGCCCTGTGTGATGAGTGTAGCATTGATTTGATATTTATTCTCCGCCCCGGATCTGTCCACCGACGCTTCTAAGACTGGTCGGGTTAAGACAGCACGCCACACGTTCGAAAGATCCAACCCAACTATTCTGTTCATGGAGCTGTTCTTCTTACCGATCTCGACCGCCTCAGCAGTTAATCTTTAGGATATTTATCCAATCCCCCCTAACGATCTTGACGTTATCCAAGTCGATCTCATGACTTGTATCCGTCGCGTGCGTTGCTACTGCCGAATCCCTTAGGAGAACCCTGTATTCAAGCTCGTCCCTCGGCTGCCATGCCTTGTGTTCTGCTATCCTGGTGCGTAGCTCCCTTGCATTTCCGCCTATGCACAGGAAAAGGAACTGAACCGCTCAGCACCGTTATTTCACGCACCAGGCTCCGATGGCTCAGCCACGTGTTACGCATGCCAGCTCACCGACTTCCGCGACGTGCGTTGTTTGCGCGCCGGGGGTGTGGATGGAAGAAGAGGAGGGGTGGCCAAGCGATGACTTGGTCGAGAGGAATGAAGGCCCTCACTTCTGAGCTGGCCTCGGTTGGAGCGTCTCGGCTCCCTGGTTGGGGTCCCAAAGACGATGGACACGTGTGGTTGGACACACTTGCTGATATGGCAAGGAGCCGACCTCAGTGGCGTTCGTGCTGTGAGTTTCTTTGTCCCACCCCATCCTTCCTAGCCTCCCCCTCCAACCACGATCTCACTATTTAGCCTTATATAATTTTGCATAGCAATTTTTTTGGTGCACAGCAGCCGGCTGGTAGCTTACCGGTACGATGCCCATCCGTTACCGGTAGCTCAGCCAGCTTGCACCAGTTGCTTTTCTTCTACTTTTTTCTATGTATTGCGGCACAGTAGCTGAGGTGTTCCCCACCTCCAGCTAACGTGTAGTATGATGATATGATGACACGTACATGCAGGGTGCAACTACTTTTATGGGCGCAATAAGTTGTTCTCTCTGTGGGGTGTCGGTCCTTCAAGTGCGCCAGTGTCGTACGGAACGTTTGGCCATCTTGGAAAATTGGCCCCTCTCTTTGTTTAGTACCCTCGTGATGGTCTCCAAAGTCCCCTCTTTACAACGAATTCCTACCGTCTTGTTCCGTCTTGAATGCGGATCCAAATTTCCCTATAACTGACGTCTCACTGCCCTTCTGGGATTTATACCATAGATCATCTTGGTTCATTACTTCCTTCCGGATGGTTTTTTATCATCCAGTGGTACGCTCGGTCTGACGGAGCGTTTGTGTCCATTGAAACGTTGCCCACCAACTGTTCTGTTCCCAGTCCTTTCCTAGCATTTTCAAAATGTTGCATGCACTAGTTTTTATTTACTATACATTGCTTTAAATCATCCTCAAAGCTTTCCACTTTTGTTGAGCACCCCATTTCAACGGTATTTGTGTTCACTTTTGCCATTCTTTTAGCGCTACCAACTCTGTTATGTATGGTACTGAGAACACAAGTACTTGGGCGTAAACTAATATACTGAAGTGCTGGTTGGTATTCACATGTTATTCTCTCGATCGTGAGGTTGGCTTCACTTAGGTCCCTTCAAGTTAATGTGATCAGAGTTCACCATGTGGACTGCACCTAGTAATCCACTGCCTTTAGCTAGGTTCCCAAATGGTTCATCGGTCTGGGACGCGCGGTTAATTTGTATTAATCGAGACTACTGATTTGTGAGCAGTACCTACAACTTTCTTACAATTTAGAAGTCATTCGTCTGCACTTTTTACGAACACCCGATGTGGCGGTCACTGCTTGCGAATCAGGTCGCTTTGCCAGAGCACACTACACATTGTCTTATGCACTTCGGCTCGGAGTGTTCTCCTGCGGTATGTCAATTCGTTTTAACATGACTTCAATCGTGAAATTAGCCACACCCTAACATGAATCATTTTCGTTCGTTAATCTCATTTTCCAACACATTGTCTTTTTTGATACCTTATTTTCCATTAAGCATCTGATTTCCGTTGAGTGGGATCTCCGCTATCCGTGCCTTTTCCGTGGCACAGTGCAGCGATTTTGCTTTCACCTCGGTTCAAAGGATACTTGGGCCACCTCTGCGCACCATCTCCCTCTGTCCAATCGATCCCCGGCCGTGACAAATCATGCCATTTTTGTGCTCGGGCTACGTGATGGCAGCCTTTTTAGTTACGCTCTTCCGGTACGTCCTTCTGTGTATCGCTTGTGGACCTCTTTACTCGTTTCTCCATTTTCATTCATCATTTTATGTTCTGCGGTCGTTTCCACTTCGTTTTCCTGATAACTTCTTTCCTTGCGTAGATTGTTCTTAACTGGGTTTTGAATGGGACCTAGCGGGTGTCACTGGAGTAACATTTGCGTTGAATTTTGCGTTACGTCAGTGCAAACAATAGTGTCCATATATGCACGTATATCTTACAGTGCCGGGAGTTGGACACAAAATGTTTGTAGTAGAATATTCAGACCTGCTGGACTTGCGTGTTTTACTATAATATTTCCTTTTTTTCTCCTTTACAACAATCCATGACTTTTAATAGTTGTTTCTTGTTCTTGTTTTAATTCTGGTCTTCTGAAGAGCCAGGTGACTTGATATGGCACAACAGGCCTCATCATGGTTAGTTTTGACTCCTCTTCCATGGATGGTATTGTATACCCTCATACCATCTTCAACTAGCCGCCTGTAAATATCATTAACGTACTATTTGCGTTCACTTGAACTCTGCTAGCCCAAAAGCTCACTGCTGGATGGACTTGATTCGACTCCAGCGTGGTCTTTATGCACGTGTCACGGTCCTGGAGGCTGCTGCTCCATCACAAGTGTGCCAAGAAGTTCACCACCCGTGATCCTCTCCTGTGGCCGCACGTATGGAGAAATACGACAATGGTTGGTTGAAACTGATGGACGATTAACAATGCTTAGTCAACTATCTAATCCTGGTGGGTTGACATGGGTGGAGCGCTTCCATCTAACTTTGGATGGTCGTCTCTTCGCGTTGGGCTTCCAGTCGGTAAGCGTTCTCTCAGTTCCCATTTACCCTTTATGCACAAATTCGTTGCAGCGTTGACTTTTTCTGTCTTTTTACGCACTACTATTTAACCAGTCTTCCTTCGTTCCCCGTTGATGCTCTGACACTGGCACATTTTCTACACGTTACTTCCTTCCTTGGTTGCATTACTAGAAATCCTCCCATTTTACCATTCTTCAGGAACGCACTACGCATCCTAACCTGTGGCTCTTTTACCTTTGAACTGTGAACCGTACTTTTCCACTTTCCCACCACATGCTGTCGCCATCTAGGTGATTGAACTGGTTGAGCATCGTTCGTGCGCCCTTTTCGGACTCCACTAACTATTCCATCCAATTTCTTTCCTCTTTGAACTCGATTCGTGCATCAATTTCACTTCCTTATTCGCTTAATAGTTCGTAGTTACTGTCTTATAGTCAACTCTTCATCTAGCGAAGCAGTTTTCGTAACTCATTACTACTTTCTTGCCCTACTTTGCACTCGTTAACGTGAAACGTGATGTGTTACGTATCACCAATCACTTTTTGCTGTATCTGCTGTGCTGGCACAAAATGCTCCAGCTTGCCGCCGTTTATTGACTTGACCAGTTTTAGTCATGTTCGTCCACCTGAAGATGGCCGCCAGTGCACGCAAATCTATTACCATTTCATCGAATCCGACGGGCATTTACCTTCTCCCTCTCCTCTCTTTATTCCTGTAATAGTAACCATTACGGACTTGAGGCCGGCTAGCGATGTATCCACGTCACTTAAGGTTTGCATATCAGAGATTTTGCGGCATTTTTCTTCGTACAATCCTATCCCGCTTAGGATTCAGAACATAGCCTCTTCTTTAGTGTTTTTGCGCCACGTGGTTCATTTGATTATTTATTGTTCTGCTTGCGCAGGGGTTTCCTGCCTCGTATTCCCACATGCTAGTATCTTGACGTATTCCGGGTCAAAATGTTGAGCTCCTTCATCCTCTTGCATAGAAACTAATGCAAATGGATGATACTATCTTCTCGCCTTTTACAATGTGATCTGTGTGGATGGCATGATTCTTATTCATCGATTTCTATACACGAAGATGAACCAGATTATCATTTTGAGGTGGAATACGAAGCAGATAAACAAATTCTCAGAATCATGGCACCCCACAAACAATTTGATCAATCGACACGTTGAATTGGACACAATCTGCGCAAATCTGGAAGCTGAAAACCACCATCGCAGTTGAATACCCCTCATGGAATCTGACGCCATTCGAACTGCTCAGTCAGATTTTCAGCCTTAAAGGCAAACAAGCCATGATCGCGAAGCATGTGTCCAAGAGGCAATTTTCAAAGGTCATCTGGTCAGATGACCAATGGTTGGCGGCATCCAGTTTCGGATTTGCCTGTCACTGTGGCCAGCCACAGGACGCCTGTGCCTACAGAGGGACCATGGATGGCTTGCGCTGCACCACCCACAGCTCCACCCACACACCCCATATCCAGTGTAAACCCGAAGGAATAAGACCGGAAGGCATGTGGATGGGAGCCACGTTTCATCAACGGAGCCGGCCCAAACTCCTTCACAGGCAAACACAAGCACGCTGTATTTGAGGAATCAAGTGCACTCAAGGCGGTGGTTAACCGTAGTCCGCTCCACACTGAGAGCATGGAACCACTCTTTGAACCTATCACGGCCACAAGGACCGTGCACCCCGTCTCCTGCAGCAACGACCAACTGTCTCCTGGAGCCGGTGTGGACGTGGTAGTGGGTAATAGACAGGTAGGCACCTTGTCAACATGCACATCAAGCGCAGCCACACTGGGGATATCAAGCAACAGCCAATCATTCGAAATGCCGATATCAGATAAAAGATATCGAATAAAGTAAACATATATGTCGCCATAAATACTCACTAAATGAGCATATGGAAGAAATTGGTAATAGGCGAATCCGCGATAATTTCAAGATGTCCGTCCAACGACTGACCTATACAAGGGCATAAGCGCGACTACCCACTTAACACCTACTTATGTATCGCTCCGCTCCTCTGCACACCAATCCATTGATGATGTCCCCTCAACTGGTGATGAAAGGTTTGGGGCCAATTTGCCAACCTATGCGGACAGTTCGTCTTACAACTTTGTCGTTTGTTCGTGCTGCACAAAATGTTATCTGCAACTATCCCGATATTTAATATTATTTCTAGAATCCAACCTCTTCGTCATCATCCAACCAGTGTTTGGAGTTTGACTTGATTTCAGTCATACATAGATCGAATAGCAGACTAATATTCATCATCCTTGTCGGTTATCTTTAACCACATTTACCGAAATTCGCATTCCTGTCTTCGCTACCGATATTTTTGCAGCCCTGACTCTCACGTAAGGTTGTGTCCACACACTCACTGCTAAGGCCGGTTATTTATTTCTGTTGTTTTTTTAACTCGCGACAAACTATAGATCTTTTCAACTCTTCGGGCTTTTAGTGCTTACGCGGAACCTAATCGAGCTTTGGTTGTCCCTTTTGATGGGTATTCATCGCTGCGTCCCTTTTCGAACTGCCTACTCGCGCCCGTACTTACCATCATCTCAAATGATGTCCGTGCGACAGGCCCCATCAGTGGTCAACAAATACTTATCTGATTTGGCCGAGAGATCGGTGTATCCGCTGTCTTTACCCTATTGCCTCCACTCGTTCTCCAGCTTCGGACTGTTCTTTGTACCCTCGTTTTATTGCTTTCATCTACACGGTAACGTGAAACAGCAACTGGATCCACTCTCGTAGGTATGCTGCCCATATCTGACATCGAAGAGTTCAAATGCGACTCCATCTTATACTCCATTTGGTAGACGATCCAAATTTCTCGTCACTGCAAAGTGACTTTTCCCCCTTTTGTTTTACCATATAAGCTACTCATATTTTACTCATTTATATCTATTTTTCTTCCGCAAACAAATTTTTGGTCGTTGTCAACTCCTACCTATTACAGCCACTGAAATATTCATAGAAATAGCATGAAGCTCTAGATTTGCTTTTCATTACGTCATCATTTCTTGCGGGGTTCATTGGGCCTACTTCTGACTGCAACCGGGTGTGTAATGTCATTTGCACACCCTTGCACACAGATGAACACTTTGGACTTCGGAGTACCCCCGTATTTCCGGATTGCATCACATAGTCGTCTAGGCACACTGCGAGTACTCAAAAATCCAACAATTAACTTCTAACCACTCTGTCTAGGACTGCTGGCGGAGCTCAAATGTCTGATGATCATGGTGATAGCCGAGTTCCACTCCCAACTCCAGCTCCGGATACCTACCTAATAAGTGCAGACGATACTGGTCCTGGAGTGCATTGATGGGAGAGAGCGACACCGAAACCTTCCACTTTAAACGAAAACTTTCAGATTTCTTCGTCTCTCACCTGAATTCAATGCGAATTCTTCCTGCGCTACCGTCCCCTATTCTTTGTTGTCCTGTCTTCTCACAGACCCGTTTTACTTTCTGGCCGCGGAACCATTTCTGTTCGTCCATCGGGCTTATGTCCCATTGCCCATGCGATGTTCGCTACTGTTTATACTGCTGTGGTCTTTTCGAGTCCAACAGCCTCACACTGCTGAAGATTTGCATTCTCCATCCCAGAAAGCTTTGCTTTTTACGTGTTTTTCGATTTTAGGTTCATTTCAAAGTGTATCCGCTTCACTCGGCAACGACTGCAGATGGCTGCATACCTCGTTTTTCGCTCGATTGCCTCAACGGCCCCCCCATGTTCCGAGCTGCCTGTGGTGGAGCACATAGACATTGGGAATTTTGGCTGCCTGACTCCAGTTCTGGGGCACAGTTGTCGTGTTCAAAGGTTTCACCTGGTACCGAATCTGTTGCCTGGTCTGATCCAACGCCTGGTCCAGTTTTGGCTTTTGTCAAACGATGCGATGTTGTCGTGCAATTACAGCCTCCTTCCTCTAACGTCTGTTCTACGCTCAAGGGATCGCTCCAGTTGAGAGTACGTGATTTGTGCACGCGCAATTCACACACTAGTCGGCCACCTTGTCACAAGCGTTATCGGTAGTACTCATCGTGTCATAACGAGTACCTTAGTTTTATGGCTTTTTTCGAACTCATCGCACAGTCACCCGTATCGGCTCCCGACTACTCGTCACGTTCGTCGTATTTCTGTCAACCGGTTGTGAATTTACCGTCCTATTTTTGATGCATTGCGACTGCATGCTTCCCACCGAAACTTTACCTGATCTTGGTATTTTCGAGCGAATTTCTCGTAGACGAGTTTGTCATTAGCCTTTACTTTTGCGGTATCTCACTTTTATCTTTGTACCATCGAGCCTAGTCTGTTTTCGGATGGGTTCTCCTTGCGATTGTGCTTAATATTAACAGTGACCAGATGGATACCCATTAAAATAATCCGACATCTTACATGTGAATGTTACTTATTCCGTAATAACCTACTCGTGACCGCATTTCGGGCCTTGTATGACATTCGCAGGCTGATGTTGTTGCGTCATTCGTCACTTGGCGCAACGTATTCGAACAAGTCGTCAACACAACATTGTAGCGGTCCCGGCTACTCGTTATAGCGGGAATGTCCCTCTCTTACAAGGTGTGCACACTGTTTAGGCCTCGTGGTTGTTTTTCTCATGCCGCTGGTTGCAATGGCAACCGCATTTTCTGAAATGCAAGATGCTACTGCTGCCCTAAGTCACAGACAATTTCTTTCAGGTGTAGCGTGCCCATCCACCTGGAGAGATGGCTGCTAAGCACCTGGAACCAATGGTAGTTATCGTAAGCCTCTGGGAGTGCAGGTGCTAAGGTTTATCTATAGCCTGTCTATGTACTCTTTCCGTTTGCTTTGCTTTCTTTGTGGGCACCATTTCGAGTACTATTTGAATTGAGAAGCTCCAACTGTTCCCAGCTTCGAAGGGGGCGACTTCATTCCTCTTGACCAATTTATCGGTTAGCTTCTGCTCTTCGTGGCAAGTTCCCTGATATTCTTTTAGAACTTTGCATTTATAGGGGGCAAAACACAGCCCGTAACGGTTGACAGTCATTGCTAATCTGTCAAATATTTCACACATATGTGAAGTATCGCATTAAGGGGGAGATATCGTCAACATACTCCGAGTCAGCAAACCGTTAACATGGAAGCAACTCCACACGTTTCACGTCGTGTCCAATGAACGCAGTTTCCACGACCTTTTCAATAGCGAACTTAAAAAGAGAAGGTGACATCGAGGAACTTTGTCTCACACAGGTGGAGATGTTAAAGGGCGGAGACAGCTGTCACCCTGTTTAAACTATGTTTCTCGGGTACACCTTCTTGGTGCAGGCAATCAAATAAGCACATTGATTCATCAAATCAAAGGTGCCTTTGATGTCGTGGACCACAACTACTGTGCGTCTCCAATAAGTTGGTCGACGTTCCAACAATTGACGTAATCTGGTGATGTGGTTAATACAGCCTCGATTTCAGCGAAACCCGTCTTGCTCCTCACAAATCTGTCTTTCACGAGTGCCAACCAGTCTTTGAGGAGGCTATGCTGATCAGCTTGATCCCTCTATGATTTCCATATTCCGAAGGTGAGCGTCTTGGAGATCGGGACAATAACGCAGCGGCTGCAATCCGTTAGAACAGTATTTCATCAATAGATCGTGCACGTCGTCCACCAGGACAGGTGCTCACAATTTGGAGTGGGCTAGAATATGTTCATGCGGTTTCATACAACGTCAACTGTTTGATGTGACTTTTGACTTTGTGTGCGAAAGCGAGTCCTAAGAGACAGGCCAGAGAGCAGGACAGTCAATGGCCTGTGTAAATACTGGCCATTCTGGTCTAGTGAATTACTCTTCTAAATGCTCAGCGCAACGCTTCAAGCGTTTCGACAGGTTGCGAATAGACTGTCCCATCTCATCACGTATAGTTTCAATAACACCAGATCTCCTGCTGACAGTTTCCCGTCTCAGACGAAATAACACTATGGTAACCAAGACCAACAGCCATCTCCATCTTCGATGTATTTTGAGACCACCAAGCTTCGCGGTATTTTTTCAAGATAGTACGCAGTTTTGCTCCGTTTTTCCTATGTTTATTTGTGTTTGCGCACATTTAGAACTTCCGTAGACTGCGCAGAGACCCAATCTCTAGGTTTACAATCAGATTTGCCATGTAAAGACATACCTGCTGATAATAAGTCTTGCCGACGTTGTTGCTACTGATCTTCCGCCTTGTTCAGTGAGCATTTAACCCAGTTAACGATTGTCTACCTGCTCACAGCGCAAATTCCTCTGTTAAAGACCACCGAATTTTAGCGTGTTTCTCTCAATTGGCATAACTAGTTTGCTAGGTACATGGATCTTCTGCTGAGTATAGGTATCCTATCCAACTTATTTCTTATCTTCCTTTATTGTTACCATGTTTACTGTCTGTAGTTTCTCTAACCGTTTTTCTAACGTTGAGAATGCGTTCTTTTGTAATCTACATGTAGTCAACCGACCCTTTCTTGTTCACTATAGATATTCACAGGAATTCCAGTGGACAAGTTTTGTAGCCATGATGTCAAGCTCTGTATAGTTATGACTTGCGGATTAATTATTTCGATTAGTCACACAATTGCTATTTTCCGTGGTACGTGCCTAAGCACCCTTTCATTGTGTTCTCGTACCCAGTCCGTTTTCATTAGTCGGGCGCACGTGTGCATCTCTGATTCCCAGTTACATACCATTTCGTGTTTTGTGGATTTGAACTTTAACTTCTTCAGACGGCACTAAAGTAAAGGATCAAATCCATCGATCTCGCGTTGCTATTTGCCTTCGATACTAGCTTCAATCTGAACCACAGGATTAGTGTCTCATTTGCTTTATCAACTTATCGCGAATTTGTGACAACCCGTCGCTCTGTCTTTCTCTAGGATGTGGCCAGTTTCCAGCGGGTGAACCGTCAACACATTAATGACACCTGACACCAGTGAACCACACACCCACACCCGTTAATGCGAGTGCGATTTCTTTTGTTGCTTGCGCGTCAGAATCACTGCGCTTTATTATTTGTTCTCTTCATCCATGCTTTTCAGCCCGGGTTGCACGGGAGGGATCTCAATTGCTGCCTTGTGTTCAGCTATCCATGCACCTCTCCTGTTGATCGCTCTTCTGGTGAGTCGGCTCAATTCCTTGAATACAACGAGTTGTGAATTGATGTACCACACCCGCCGCGTCGATGCGTGTTACAACGCTCGAAACATAAGGTTCCTTGCTTCCAGCCTCTCCATCTCCTCTGCCAAAGCACATTTGTCTACTTGTAAACACCCTTGCAGTGCAGCGCGCTCGCACGTATTGTTGCGTCGTGCGTTCACCGCGGACTGTCTAACGTGATTGCGTTTCACGTGTCTGTTCCTCTTTGCCAGCACCCCAGCTCCTTGCCTATCGTTCGTGCACGCGCCTATCTACCGCGTCCAGCTGCGCGAAGCCGCACGATCCTACACTGTCAGCATTCCATTCCGCACACTTCGTGTTCATACGCGCACGGTGACAGTGCTGTTTTGTGCTGAAACCACAAGCATTCGTTACTGACAGCCTCTGGCGTCACTCTCAACCTCCTCGTGTAGCTATACTGGGTGCACCAAGCCCCCTTAGTTAAACCCGTAAGTCGATACGTTTTAGACAAAAATCCAATTGTACTGGTGTGTTTAAGGGTTCAAGTGAGCAGAAAATTGCACTTTTTTCTTCACTCCATAAAAATTTTCCCCGGACAAAAATGTTGCAGTGCACGTGCTGTTAACCGGATGTGAGTGGTTCACCAATGTGTGTGTGCACTTGGGCAATAAATAAAGCAAACCGTATTTTTTTATCTCACACGCGAAGTTTCATTGCGTCTGGGTAGCCACGTCCTCGCACCGAAACTGTCGCATTAGCCGCATTCAATAGAGGCAACACGAACTCTCAGTGCCGTTCGCCAGATGTGTGTCGCTTCGCGGGTTTTCGCTTTAAAACTGGCCGGTCGCTATTCCCGCTCACCTTTCCGTTGATGTTTCTTTTTGGAATCCAGATTTGGTGGCACTCGTCAAGCATTCTGCATCGGATTGTGTCCCCGCGCTCCACAGATCTCACGGACTCCTTGTGAACATTGCCTTGCAAAAGAGAATGTAGTACTTTTTGTGTGCGCCAACCGACCACTTTCTTGGTAATTTGAGTGCTGTGTACGTGTGCGAAATATTTCAGGTCAAGCGCTTTTCCAACAAATCTGCGGCGTTCTGAGTACGTAAACTAACCGAAACTTCCTTTGTCCTGTAAATGTTTTTGTCTTCCTGTATTTGGAGTGTAGAGCCTTCACTTTATTGATGGTTGTTTGGCTGGGTACACTTGTTGCTACGACTAGGAGGCGACCTCAATGGCGTTTGTGTTGTGGGCTTTTTTTGTCCCTCCCCATCCAACCAGGATCTCGTTTCTGACGCATCATTTCACTTTTTTGCCACACAGTAGGCGGCTGATAGCTCTCCAAGACGATGCCGATCCGTTACTGGTGACTCAGCTGGCGTGCCTTTGTTGCGTCTTTTTTCCCATATATTGCTGAGATGTTTCCCACCTCTCGTTAACATACATACTGATGATGATTGATGATCGTTATATTTGGGGGTCACTGTATTATTGAGCTGCACGGATACGACCACATTTTTTAAATATATAGTCCATGCTGTTATGGGGCAATTAGGTAGCAATGTCTGATACGACGAAAAAGGTTGTATCCTTCCATCGACTATACAAGCATGAAATAAGTGTTCCTGTTGATGCATTTTATGGGCCGAAATGGTTTGCAAATTAAGAAGTTACTCCAATGCAAATGGTTTTCCAGGCTGCTTTCATACCGTCAGCATGCTTGTTACATCTAGGAATACCATTTGGGTAGAGTTACTCGAAATATCGGTAGCTTGAGTTGCCATTTGAAGTGTTGATTTGCTCGCTGAGCTGAGCGAATCACACAATAGTCGTATAACAACCATGCCGCACCGCGACTAGAGACGCGCATCATTATTAAGGGATTTGAGGACTTTTACAGAACACGCTCTCACTATCACCACACAATACCTCATGTGGCAAGAAGCGATGTGCGTTTAAGACTCAAATTTTTGCCTCGGATTTTCCGGCCATTTTTGCCCGATGTTTTTTCATCCTGACATATTAATTTTACTGATCTATGTATTTAGGTATCGGAGCAGGTCCATTGAGAACCAGTATCGATGCAGAAAATGGCACACTCGATCTACTACTCTTCTTTACGATCTCGAAGTCACCTTTTTGTTTTTAGCCATTCTCTTCCTCTTTACCTCACGAATTTGTTTTTTTTTAATCACCGGTAGTATCTTGACGACGTGAGGTAAGTTAACCGGGTTCACCACATTTCCATGCACGGATTAAACTTGATCTGTGCACTGAACTCGTACTGCTCTTCTTCAACCCCTGCGTTGTGGCGTTGTGGCTTCTCGCAGTCTGGTTATGAATCATTGCACAATTTCATGCCCCTGCTATCCCCCGTATGTACCTCCTTGGCATTTCCCCCTCATATCTTTTTCCAACTGTCCTGATAGTAATACGATGCATTGTCTGCCATTGTTCAGGTAATCACTCTCTCCATCATCCGCTAGATTTCTTTTTACTCGTTGTGCGGAAATGCGGCCACGTGGAATTGACTAAAATGCATAAATAACAAGTGGGGATGGCTTTGGCTATGAAAAGAATGTCTTTAGCATGTGTTACTATCTCTGGAATTTTCGTGTTTGTCGCAACGTACGCAAATAGCATATCGGCGGCTTTCATTGTCTGTCGTTACAGCAATAAACATCTACTTTGCACCGCGGTACACCAGCCAATGTCGTATGTACTGCGAATCTAGAACCGTTCCGTTTCACTTTCGCGACCTCGAGCCAGTTGACTTTTTGTTTCAGCTGGGTAGCCGCGTTCGCCACCAAAGTGTAAACTTCTGCTGAAACCTGTAGGGTTTTGGTCACTGGTCCCTTTAGAATTTGACATATTCGGCTCATCAGTGCCCAAGCTGAATCGGTCATGATGTAGAGGGTGTAATGTTCCCTATCATCAGTAGCCTCGCGCAATTCCATCCGACTATAGCAGCCGGAAAGCAGTTAAGTACATTTGTGATGAGGGTCGCTCGCCTTCAGACCAAAGCGAGGCCAGACAATAATGACCAGTGCGAAAGAATGTCTCCCCTCGAGCAACTTCACTAATTTCTTCGTGGTAAAGTTTCCAGTAACGCGCTTAACTGCTGGTGACCGCTATTGTCCATGAACGAGATCTGCTGCATTTTCATATGTCAGTTGCTTCCGGTGGTCATTATTGACGAATTACCTTGATGCCGCGACTCAGTGACCAATAACGTAGCATTTATCGTCCAAGCTTTCATGAACTTTTGGAAACAATTGTCCCCAGCGAACGTTGACCAGACGGTGTCCGATTTTGTACTTTAAGGTATCAGTATCCATTTGTATACTTTAGTTCAGTCGCACCTGCTTATTTCGATTTCTTTAGACTTCGAAGTCAATTTAAGTATGGAATGTCTATTCCTAGTTTCTTTCGGTCATCTTGTGCCATTAGTTAGTGGTTTCTTATGTGGTTGCAATACTTCGCCTTGCGTTCATTCATGGGGGACATGGAGGAGCTATTTTATCTGGTCAGGTTTTATGTAGTTACTGCTTGCTATCTAATCCGCCAGGTTTTTTGTTCTCCGCGTTATCCGCCATCACCTAGTCTTTCTGCCGTCCCAATGAGTGATATACACGCGCTCAAGATTCCAACTATGAACCAACCCGGTCGGCAGACCACTTCGAGCGATTAGTCGCGTTACAACTTGTACATACCTGGAATACGTTTGCTGGAAACATTTCCTGGTTCCTTACTTGCTCCCTACTCTACATGCTCTTATTTACACGGATCGCATCATCTCTACTGCTTTCGATTTACTTTCGTGCATCATTAGTGAGTAATAGGGGGTGTTTATTGGGTTTTTGTCTAAGTTCGTTGCAGACAGCGACCACATGTCCAGGGAAGCGTTAAACGGCCGTTTCGTCCTATTGGGCCTCGTCAATAGCGCACTCCCGCTGAATTCTCTGTCGGATTCGAATCTATACAGCCTTACTCTTATTAGCCGGCGACTTATACCACTGGGCCGTGGGTGACGGCAGCGGTGAGCCGCCATGCTTGATATGTTACTGCGATATAGCGCAGCTCATCCTCAACCGTCATTCACGTTATGAGTGTGCGGATATCAGTCATGGCGGTCCACTGCCGTCACCCATGTCTCAATGGCATATGTCGTGCTGGCTTGTAAGAATAAGGCGCAGATTCGAATCAGGCAGGATTCGGCGGGAGCGCGCTATCGACGAATACCAATAGGACGAAACGGCCGTGTAGCGCTTCCCTGGATGTGTAGTCGCTGTCTTCCTCAGTCTAGCTGCAACGAATTTTCACAAGAATACCTTCCTGCAGTTGAGATGTTTTAACAACGGTGAGATCTGACGATCAACGCCTGTAGGCACCTTTGACATCCGAGGATGTCCCGTGTCTTGTGTGGCAACGCTGAGATAAATTCGCGAAGCTATCACTTTACTTTCAACGTTTACGTTCCACTCGCATCATTCATTTCACCTCATAGATATGTCACCAAGTGCGTACTATAGTACCTATCAATCTGTCCAGTATTTTTATCAGTCACGTATTTCCAAAGTCTCCGCGACCTCCGTTTTTCATTTATTTTTGCTTTCATCTTATTTACCTTTCGCTACTTTTAAAGCTATTATACTTTTGCTTACTTCACTGTTATCGGGGACATAGTGCTTGTGTGACTTCTGAGGTTGTTGATTCGTGTAGCTTTAGCCGGGCTTAGACTTAAATATCTCTTCTTGACGTGTATCCACGAGTGCTACACCAGGTCTAGCTGCAGTTTCTTTTAGGTAGCTATTCGTTTTTAGGGAAACCGGGCGTACATATGTCATATCGCTAATCACCAATCGATTCAATCACGGAACGGGCATCAGCCAGTCACCGCTATGTGTACGTCGGACATCCGCGTCCGCCTCTCCTTATCCACTATCTACGGCAGGGCAGATAAGCGATGGCATGCTACCACTGATGTCTCCCTCTCATAT